CCGCCCTATCACTCTAGCTCCACCCCTATCACCCTAGCCCCGCCCCATATCACTCTAGCTCCGCCCTATCACTCTAGCTCCACCCCATCACCCTAGCCCCGCCCCATATCACTCTAGCTCCACCCTACCACTCTAGCTCCACCCTATCACTCTAGCCCCGCCCCATATCACTCTAGCCCCGCCCTATCATTCTAGCTCCGCCACTATCACTCTAGCTCCGCCCTATCACTCTAGCCACTCCCTCTCTAGCCCCGCCCCTGCCCTCAGATCCTTCCCTGGCCCAGCAGCTTGGCTCCAGGCAGTGGCCGCTAGGTGACCAGTCCAGACCACAGAGAAGCAGGGTGACAAGTGAGACTTCCCAGCAACCCCGTCTGCTCTGCTACCCAGCGTTTCCATCAGAGTCGCTGAGAAGGAGGCCGGCTCCCTGGGGATGGGCAAGGCGAGGCCACGAGGCCAGGGTCCTTTGCCCAGGGAAACCGCAGTCTCTGCCCTGTTCCTCCCAGAAGGACCAACCAGCTACACCCCGGCCAGAAACCACAGATCGCCTGCAAATCAGTTGCCCCACAGAGGCCGCGGGCAGGAAGGGACAGCTCATTAGTGGCCATTCCCTCGAGACAGTGAGCAGAATCCCGGGGTCAGAGCCCTGCACAGCCCAGAACACCAGATGGGTTTCTGAAACTTGGCAGGAAGTGGCGGGTTCATTGACAGGGGTTCCACAGACACCCTGACCCAGCAGCCCAGAGCCCGAGCTCGGGCCCCTGAGGTTCTGAGAAAATTCCTTCCAAGAGGACCCGGGACAAATACCTGTCCAGGGAGCAGGGCAGTCCAAGCAGGAAGACGCCTCCTGGGGCCCCTGAAGAAATGGCCGAGGACAAAAGGGACAAATGAGGAGTTGGGGCAGAGGTGGGTGGGAAGACACCCTCCCCCGGCCAGGAGCCCCGGAGGCCAGTCCACCCCAGCCCTGGGGCCGCTGGGCACCCCCTCCCCAGGGACAAGGCCTCGGCACCTACAGGGCTGGGCTCCCAGCCGGGCTCCCCACCCCGGACTCAGCTGTTCACCCACCTGCAGGGCCTGGGAGAGTCCCCAGCAGCCCAGGAGGAGGAAGGCAGCAGCCAGAATTCCCCTCGCGCGTCTCCCCCAGCCCAGAAGCCCCCTCATCCTCAGGAGCTCCTCGCCTCGCCTCTGAGCAGCCACGACCTGGAAGTGAGTGTGGGGCGGGCCAGACCCCGCAGGCTGGGCGGGCCCAGGCTGGGCTGGCTCTCGGGAGCCTCCTCCCAGGGCAGGGCCCAGGCTCCTCCTCCGCCTGGAGGACCTGCTGGGGCCCTGGGCCCTGAGCACCCCCACTGGGGCCTGGGGTGTGATCCCGGATGCTGTGAGGCTGCTGTTAGGCCACCTGCTCTCCCCGCACCCCCTTCCCCACCTCTGGGCAACCCCCTCACTGGCTCACAGACCCTGCGCACCTCCGGCCTCCCTGACCTCTGCCTCTCCTGTACCCCAGTCACAGACCTGTCGCAGACCCCTGCCGTCCACTCTGCTCCATGGAGGGCTCCTGCTCACCCCGGCCAAGCACCCCCAAGTTGTCTGATGACCAAGAGGGATGACCATTGGGCTCTTTGTCTCCCCCTGTCCCTTATCCGCCACCTGCTGCATCCCAGGCCTGTGAGGTCCGCTTAGCGGGCTGCGGGGGGCCCCTGCCCGCCCTGCCTTATCTATCATGGGGAGCCCTCCTGTCGTGGTGCACGGAGGAGTGCAGCTCTGAGACTGCTTCCTGGGACCCCACAGCTGCGGCCCCAGGCCTGGGCTTCTGTACCGGCTCCCACCGGCCCTCCCATGTTCCCTTTGCCCTGAGATGTCCAGACTTCCTCCCCCGCTCTGGCAACCACCATCCACAAGATGCCCCTTTGCCACTTGGGGCTGTGCTGCTGCCCTGCCTCCACCCACATCATGCCTTGGAGTTTCAGCAGAAAGCTCTGCTCCTCAAGGTCCTTCCCCCGACTCATCTCACCGTCCCCCCCAGGTAGGCTTCCACACATAGGAAATAAGAGTCCAGGAGGGACTCAGCGGGCTCGCAGATTCGTTCTCTCTCTCCTCCTGGCCACGGCCTCTCCGCACCAGCTCGCCAGACACTCAGGCAGGAGGGAAGCAGCCCGGCCCGGCCCCTCGGCCCTGACTGGAGCCGTGTGCCGCCGTCTGGCGTGGGTCAGCCCAGCTGTCAGCTCGGACAGAGGAACCCCCCAGACCCTGGAAGGAAGCGGGTCCCCGATCACGACAAGCGCTGCCCGGGGAGTGGGGGTGCCCGCAACTGAAGGCAGGTCCAGACTCCCAGTGACACATCTCACGAGCGAGCTGCTTAGCCCGAGGGTCGCAGGAGCGACCACGCAACCTGGCCAGGACACTGCTCTACTGCCAGAACCACGTCGGTGTGTGGCGCTGGGTTTGCACAGATGAATGAATATCTGCACCTTGCCCAGTGAATGTCAGGTTTCAGGTAACGAACAGTCACCAAGCTGCCGCAGTCCACCTGCGCCCCACATAGCTCCCTGTGGTGAAGGATGCGCGTGCCAGGACTCCTCTCCCTGAAGCCCCGCAGACGCCTTGCGAGGGACTGGTCAGCCTCGCCGGGCTCCAGCCTCTTCTCAGCGGCTTCCTGGTGGTCCGTATTTTCCAAAGTGACCTGGTTAATTTTCTGCACTTTCCTGAGCAACTCCCCCCCCCCCCAATACACACACAGAGTTGAAACCTTAAACAAGTAGAGGCAGGGGCCCTGCTGCTGACCCAGGAATTGGGGGGAGGCTCCCCGTTGGTGGTTGATCCTTGTTGCTATAGATGACGCTAGAATGACTATTGCAATGTTGTCTTGTCACCAGTGGCCACAAATGTCTGCTCTGCTCCCCGATTTCATAGACCGTATTACCATACGGGGTTTGAGAAAAGGAACTTTACTGTAAAAAGACTGGCCAAGAGGCGAGGGCCCAGGCCTTTCTCAGACATGGGGTTCTGCTCTGTGCCAGGCCGGCCTGGGGAGTGGCCCTCCTGGGGTGCCCAGCTCCAGAGGAGAGGACAAGCTCCAGGGTCTGCTGTGTCTGTCAGCAAGAAAAGTTTAGATCTGATTTTTTTAAAAAGATGTATTTATTTGTGCACACAGAACTGGGGTACAGACCAGAGATACAGGGGCAGTGAGAGGATTCACCAGAGACAGAGTGGGGAGCAGAACAGGCCAAATGACGAAGCACACTGCTGAGGGGGGCAGCGGCCGGGTCAGGAGAGGTCTGTCGCGCCATGTGGATCACCTCCAGGGTGGGGATTGAACTCATGCGGAAGCAGCTGCAGCCAGCTTGTAGTGCTGTGTCCTAACCCGTTGCGTCACCATGGAGGGCCCAGATCTGATTTTGTTAAAGATTTTTTATTTATTTATTTATGCATACAAGAACTGGGGTACAGGCAAGAGGTGCTGGGGTGAGGAGATTCAGCAGAAATACAGTGGGAGCAGAACAGGTGGATCTGCTGAAACCCACTGCCAAGGGGACGGCCGGCAGTCAGGAAGGGTCTGCCCTGCCGGTGGTCACTCCCTGGCCAAGGGTGGCCCCTGCTGCAGTGACTGTTGCTGACCCAGGAATTGGGGGGAGGCTCCCCGTTGGTGGTTGATCCTTGTTGCTATAGATGATGCTAGAACTACTGCAATGTTGTCTTGTCACCAAACAATGGCCACAAATGTCTGCTCTGCTCCCCGATTTCATAGACCGTATTACCATACGGGGTTTCAGAAAAGCTTTGATCCCTGCGCCCCGGGGAGGAGGGGGGAGGCAGATCTGCTCCGGGGTGTGGGCCCATCCGAGGCCTCCCGGGCGGGCTCGGGGACAGAGCGCGTGTGACAGGGCCGTCACCGGTCGCCTCAAGTTGCTGCGGGGCCCCGTGGCCATTACGGGGCAGCCTGGGCGCGTGGCCC